TCCTTCCATCTTCTTTTGATGCTTCCTGCATCATTCAATATTTTGCCCATAGAATCTTTCAATATTGCAACTCAAGGCTTAAATTTTTTCTTCAGTTCTTTCAGCTTGAGAAATGCCAAGCGTGTTCTTCCCTTTTGGTTTTCTAACTCCAGGTCTTTGCACATTTCATTGTAATAATTCACTTTGTCTTCTCAAGCTGCTCTTTGAAATCTTCTGCTCAGCTCTTTCTTCTTGTCACTTCTTCCATTTGCTTTAGCTACGCTCTGTTCAAGGGCAAGTTTCAGAGTCTCTTCTGACATCCATTTTGGTCTTTTCTTCTTTTCCTGTCTTTTTAATGACCTTTTGCTTTCTTCATGAATGGTGTTTTTGATGTCATCCCACAATTCCTCTGGTTTTTGTCATTGATGTTCAATGCATCAAATCTACTCTTTAGATGGCCTCTAAATTCAGGAGGGATATAATCAAGGTCACATTTAGGCTCTTGTGGACTTGTTTTAATTTCCTCATGAAAATTTTATAAAATACTTAATATAAAAATTTCTTATTGATTTTAAGTAATGAAATGAGATGAATAAATGCCAACACTTTCTGGAAACAAAATAACCAAACAAGGTGGTCTTATGTCTTAAATATCTAAATGTATGAAACATATAGAGTCAGACTGATTTGTGAAAATAAAATAACAATTAAAGATAACCAAATGTTAGACGACTTTGGAAAGAAACATAAAATACCAGCCCTCGGCTTATTTAGAAATTTGTGGTGACTTTCAAAATAGCTGTTAAGAAGGAAAAATGAGCAATGAATGGTAATAACTCATAATTTTAATTTAAAAGACTCAAACGTATACAACAGAGTTTACCTGTTCTGTTTCAAAGATATCTCGAAGATGTTCAAGACCCAGGCTTTTCAGGAATTGACTGATATTCATGTCAAGACCTGCAACTAAAACAGAAATACATTTAAGTCAAGAATTTTACTAATGTAAAGAAAGTTCCCATATCTATTTAAAGGCATGGCTCTCTGACATCCTTGACTATATAGATGATTTACACAGCATAAAATATTCCATGATAAACTTAATTCAAACACCTAAAATTAAATCTGAATGTTTGAGAAATTAGAAGCAGAGTGCTTTATCAAATCAACATGCATTTTAATTCTAATATTAGAGAACATAATCTAATGCTTTTAATGAATATTTAACAGTTGCATTAAAAACCCCCAATATACCAGCTATCATTTTAGTTTTCATTCCTTAAATGATTTCTTTTTTTTCTGATATAATTTCAGTAATAAGATCACTCAACAGCTCAATAAAATACTGTGGCTGAAAATGGATATATTTGGATATCCATAAATAGGAACAATATTGATTCCAATGGACTTGGTTAGCCTTCTTTGATGAAGGATTCCTTCTATGATGTTGGGTATAGGAAAATTTACTTATAGACAGGATTGTTTTTAAGTGAGATGGTATTGTTGTTATGTGCCATCGAGTCGGACCCGACTCATAGCGACCTCTCCCTTGGGTTCCCGAGGCAGTATCACTACGGAAGTAGATTTACCCAACCTTCCTTCCAAGGAGTGGCTGGTGGGCTTGAACCGCTAGCCTTCTGGTTAGCAGTCAAGTGCCTTAGGCACTATGCTACCAGAACTACTCAATAATTACTGACAGAAAAAAGTGAATTTGTTTCATTAAAAAAATATATATATATCATCAAATAAGTTTTCACAGGCCATACTCACCTTCCCCTTCCTTCCTTTCTGCACCTGCTGCTCCATCCCCTGTGTTGGATGCTCCTCCAACTGCCAATTCTGCTAAAGGACCAGTAAGATTATCTATACTGCTAGCAGCAGAAAGGCAGGAGGGGGTGGATGCAGGTGAAATCAGAGAGGCACTCACTACTGTCGCCTGAGGTTTAAAACAGGTAGGTAAGGCCTCTGGGGGCATGGCATCTATCAGCAAAGCTCTGATATCATCAGCCTAAAAATATAGAATAAAATAAAAACCACATACACACACACAAAAATACTACATTTTAAAAATTTACGTTTTTCACTAAGGATCAGATACTTTGTAAATGCTTCCTTTAATGAGTGCCTCATTATTCCCTATTGATTTCTTCTTTCCTTTTTCAATCCACAGCTCCAAAGGTCTCAGTAGTTTCAGTAGGAAGAATTGAAGAAACCATATATATTTTTTTACATTTCATCTTTCATTAAATAAAACACACACACACATTTCAGAGTCACTCTCTCTTTACAGGGGTTCCTTATTCATTATGCTTTGTTTATGCTTAAACATACAATAAATTTTATTCTGGTATTTAGTGCACATTTGGTAATTTAAGGTACAATTAAAATCTGGTGAAATTTTAAAGGTATAGCACTTTAATTTGGATAGCTTATTCATTAACTTTACAGCTTTTAAGTATTGAGAGTAATTGCTATCAAACTAGCCAATTCCTTCATCTTTGTATATGCATACATACCACTCCTCTCATCAAGAGGTGGCATCTATTTGCCCTGCCTTGAATCTGGGTTGCCCTTGAGTTGGTCTGACTAAGAGAACACACAGGAATGGATGTTTTGAGGGTTCTGAGCCAAGCATTAGGGAGAAATGAGGACTGGTAGCTTCTACTTTGTCTCTAAGACACATCCACTATGCTGCAAAGAAGTTTGGGCTAGATTACTGAGTGATTAGAGAGGTCCTACAGGATGTTCTTGGATGTTCCAGCCTCAGCTGTGCTCCTAGTTAAAGGTAAATACACAAACAGTAGAATTGCCTACCTAAGCCTAGTTGATAGAACTATGAGAAATAAATAATTGTTTAATGATTTTGGGATGGTCATGCTGCAGTACAGAAGTGAAAAAGGAACTGGTATCTGAAAGTGAGGGGCTGCTGTAACAAAAACTTATGACATGGCTTTGAATGTTTGGCAACACTGTCACCTGTGGTATCAAGGAAAATAGAAAATGAACTTAATAAACTTCTGGGTTTGGCTAAGGAGATTTCCAGAAGAATGTTGAATATGTCAACTGGCTTGTTTTATTTACCCATAATAGCATACAGGAAGAGAGAACAAAGAAAGGAACTGTTCAGTTAGCTTTGAGAAAATACTTTCACCCAGGACTTACTAGTTTGGAAAATAAAGCCAGTCCTTCTTTCCAGCCTTTGTATCAGCAAAAGTTTCTCAAAATAAGCATCAGTCTCAGGACAACGATGCAATCCAAGGCAGTGACAATAAAACATGCCTCATAGTGAAAACCAGATCAGAAGCAAAGATACCTTTTGTTAAGACCTTTGGAAATCTTAACAAGATCTTTAAGGCAATGCCTTATGAACTTTCTCTGCTAGATGAGAGAGATTTTATCAATCTTAACAATCTTAAGGGTCTCACAGCACCTGACATGCAATCCAAATTAGAGAGGGATTTCAGAACAACTATGGATTGGTAACAACTCTATCTCCTATTATTTATCCCATTATTTGAAAGGATTACTCTACTGCAATTGTTTGAACCTGTCCCATCATTGTATGTTGTTTTTTTTTGTGTGGGAGATAACGTGCCTTTTAGTTTACAGGGTTTTTCATTGAGAGGAGTTATGTTTGGGCAACTATGTGTGAGGAACTATACCGAGGAACCTCATCTACATCTAATTTGAGGCAGAACATGAGATTCTGGACTTTAATCTTGATGCTATAAATGCATGAGACTGGGGGGTCTTGGGAAAGGGCGGTAAATATATTGTGAATGTAGAAGAAATGTAAATATGTTGTAGCCCAAGAGTAGACTGTGGTCAATTAAAGATCTTTGCTTATTGTCCTTTCAAAGACAGACTCTATTTCCCTACCCCTTAATTTGGGCTGACTTCATGACTTGTCAGTTCCAGGCTTAGCTCTTCGGATGCCATCACCCTGCAATGAAGCTCCAGCAAGACTACTTAATGACAAGAGACCATGTGTGGATAGAATTAGAGAGCCCACCCTTCTGCCTATCTCTGCTAAAACTTTAGGCATAAGAGTAAAGCCATCTTGGATGTTCCTGTCCTGGCCACCAGATGAATGCAACTGCACAGGAGGGACCAGCCTAAGAATCTCCTTAACAATGTACAGAACTGGGAGAAATAATGAAATATTATTATTTTAGGCTATTAAGTGTTTTGAAATTGTTACTTAGCCATTAATGTATCAAACACAATGTAACATGGATAAAACATTTCTGGCTTACAAAATTACAAATTATTATGACTGTACAATAATTCCCTGATTTTCAGAAAGTCTGAGAAAGATGGTATTTAATTTTCTAGTCAAATAATATACATTTTTTTTCCAATAACTCTTTTTTTTTTTTTTTAGTTTTTATTGTGATTTGGGTGAAAGTTTACATAGTAAATTCACTTTCCATACAGCATCTCACATACACTCCGTCTCATGACACTGACTGCAATTTCCCACAATGCAACTGCTCCCCTTCCACTTCCTCCCCATAGTTACCTCTTCCCTGTGTCCTTCCCTCCCATGCACTCCTGCCCCCTGAGCTATCTCTCTGTGCATACCCAGCCCTTCTATTCTCCCATGATTGATCTCTCCAAGGAGTGTATCTACCTAATGTAAATGTTCAGCTCATATGCCTGTCTTGTTTGGCTGGAAGCCACAGGAATGGGTCCAGTTTCAGACCCAAAGGGCAGCTGGGGTCCATAGTCTCAATGGTTCTATCAGGCTCTATCAGACTAGCAAAACCTGGTCCCTTTTGCATTTGACTGCTAACCAGAAGGCTGGCAGTTCAAACTCACCAGCTACTCCTTGGAAGGAAGGTTGGGCAATCTACTTTCATAGCGATACCACCTTGGAAACCCAAGGAGGAGTCACTGAGAGTCAGATCCGACTCTACAGCAGTGCATACAATTCTACAGTATACTAATTTACTTTTCTTCCTCCTAAGAACAATATATTGGCCAGATGTTCAATTTACATTGACAAACTCATGTTGTTATAATTGCCATTAAATCGATTTTGACTCATGGTGACCCCATATGTGCAGAGTAAAACTACTCCACAGGGTTTTCAAGGCTGTGACTTTTTGGACGCATATTGCCAGTCCTGTCTTCTGAGGCACCTCTGGTGGGTGCAAATTGCCAACCTTTTGGCTAGCAGTCAAGCATTTAACTGTCTGCACCACAATTTCATAGCCTCAAGAAGATAATTATGAACATCATTTGCACTACAGTATTATATCAAATAAAAATGATATTTTACTAACGTGATTCTTTGAGGATACACTCTAGAAATGTGTCTCGGATTTATGCTTTCACCAATTACGGCAAAAAAAAAAAATTAACCTAATACTAAATTTGCTTTAGTAGAGTTTTAAATTATTTTTTATCAGACATAAGTTACATAGCGTGAATTTCAAATTTTCAGAAGGAAATCTGTTCTCTTTCTAAGTTAAAAAAGTACTACTAAAGATAAATCTGCTAAGGCCTAGAATTTAATGTCATCTTTGAAAGTATAATGAATAATACTGAATATTTTGAAGTGAGGACTTACTGTTGCCAGATCTAAAGGTGTCTGACCTTCTTGGTTCTTCATAGTTGGATCTGCACCATGTGCTAAGAGGAGGGCACATAACTGTGTCCTTCCTTTTTGGGCTGCTTCATGAAGAGGAGTAAATGCCCACTTATCTGTTGCATTTACACATGTGTTGTATTTTATCAATAATGCTGCTATGTCCACATGCTGAAGAAAACAAAAGGGTACAAATTGTTAAGAATGAAATCATCTGAAAAAACTCTATCATGTACTTGTTTTTATTTAACATTTCATTCACTATCTGTATCCTCATAATTTTTATAAGTTTCTTCTACAAAAAAGAATATTCATCCCTCTACCTGTGTTTGTGAATTCATCTTATTTTGCATCCTCAAAATTCAGCCTGCTAAAATATCCAAGTCTATTTTAAAAATAAACTACGTAAAATGAAACTAGTACATGATCCAAAGTCTTCTGTCAATGGTCTGTCTGCCAAACTTTTCAAATAAGCATTCTATACATGGTACTTCTCTTTCCATTTCTCTTCCAACCCACTGCAATCTGACACTCATCTATTTATTGGAACATACATCTCAAAGATTTTTATGTTCTTTCTTGTCTTTGGGAAAGTAACACCACAACACAGTATTTTATAAAATTAGTCTGTCATGTCCAAAGTAAATTAGGGGTGGATGAAATATCAGTAGCAGATACAATAAAAATCTGGACAAGAGGTGATTAGATCCTTAATTATGATGGTTACAAAAGGAAGTAAAAAAACACTGCTATTGAGTTGTAAATCTTTAAAGAAACATATTGTCTGATTCTTCTCCTGTAGAGCAGCTGGTAGATTCAAACCACTGACCTTTGGTTAGCAGGTGAATGCCTTAGCCACCAGAGCTTGTTAGAAGGGCTAAATTCAAGAGAAATTTTTAAGGAAAAATAAAATTAGGTTTAGAAAGACAAATTAACTACAGAGGAAGAACAAGACAGAGGAAGAACAAGAAATAGAAGATGAAGATGACTGTTTTTTAACCCCTGCTCCTGGTTTAGAAGCTTAAACAACAAAGATGCAACCATTAACAGAAATAGAGTAGCAAAAGTTTAAGTGGGAATCAAACTGGAAGAAAGCTGAAGTGAAAATCAAAGTAATGATGTGGTGTAAGCAGTGTGACAAACAGTTGGAGCACAGGTAAAAGGGCATCATTTATTTACTCATGTACTGTCACCTACTCACCCACCAACCAAACATTTACTGAATGCTTTCTAAGTGTCTGGCACTGGAGGGTATAGAATCCGGGAAGGGGGTGGGATTACAAAATAGAATATTGAGTTAAGAGTTAAAGCTACATGATAAATGAGCTCATTAAGAGAAGGAGTACAGAAAGACAAGTACAAGAGGGACAAAGCTTTGAGAAAAACAGTATTTTTGGGAAAGAGAAAGAAAGAAGAGCTCTTTGAGGGGACAAAAGGGGAAATAAGAACTATAGAAGAACCATAAAGGGGCAGGAATATAGAAGCCAACGTAGGATAAAGTTTCAAGGAGATCAAGTTCTCTTAAATAAAATAATAAACTCTATATAACAAAAAGTTTCTGCTACTTCCCAAAGTTCTTACAAAATAAACTAAAAAAAAATCATGCACAGGTAATACTGATTCCACAAGCATTTAAAAATATTAAAAATAACTTCTGTATTTTTATAAACACATTTAGAGATGCTGTAACAGGTGGTAATTGAAGTATTTCTGAAGTCTGCTTCAACTCCAATATTCTATAATTTTGTGTGACTGGCACATGTGAGTTCCTTATGGATCCATTTCTTAGCATAAGTTGGCCATTTTTGATAATTAACTTAAAAGCACATTATCTGTTGAGAATATGTTTAATTCATGCTGTTACTCAACTACAGTATATGGAGCTTTTTGAAGCTTTTATGAAAATGGGAAGAGATGGGGAAGGTAAAAACTGAAAGATCCCAAGATGGGATTTAGGGTATATTTCTTCACATATTCTATAAGACACAGTTTTTCTGCTCTCTTGAAGATACTCTCTTAAAAAAGAAAAGGCATTTTAGAAAAAAAAAAGAAGAAGAAAATTTATTATCTTAAAAAGGAAAGTACCGATCTTAGATACCTTCTAAGAAATACTTTCATGTTTGCTCTGACAATAGAAAGAAAAGAAAAGCAGCATAATCAGTGTAGCACTTCTAAGAAGAGGCTATATTTTATTATCATGTTGTCCCTTTTGGGATTATGATATCATTTTAAAATTGATTCAACAGCTTAACTTATGTTTAGCATTTCCAATATAAAAGATGAAAACAGGCACCATCTGTGGTATCATCAAAATAACTTAAAACTAACTAATTTAAAAAAAACCCAGGATTTATCCTCCTTATTTAAAGGATAATACCGTTGAAAATTAAAACAAGTCTACAAGAGCCAAAATACCTTGAGTATATCCCACTTGAGTTTAAAGGCCATCTGAAAAACAGTTTTGATGTACTGAACACCACTGTCCAAAGATGAGACAAGTTATGGGATGACATCAAGAACCATACATGATTAAAGCAAAACGTCATTAAAAAGAGGGGACAGAAGAAAAGACCAAAATGGATGTCAGAAGAGACTCTGCAACTTGCTCTTAAGTTTAGCTAAAGCAATTGGAAGAAATGATGATGTAAAAAGAGCTGAACAAAAGATTTCAAAGGGCAGCTCAAGAAGATAAGGAAAAGTATCATAATGAAATATGCAAACACCTGGACTAAGAAAATCAAAAGGGAAGAAAACACTTGGCATTTCTCAAGCTGAAAGAACTGAAGAAAAAATTTCAGTCTCAAGTTCCAATACTGAAGGATTCTGTGGGCAAAATACTGAATGATGCAGGAAGCATCAAAAGAAGATGGAAGGAATACACAGAATCACTGTACCAAAAAAGAAATGTTTGATATTCAATCATTTCAGGAGGTAGCATATGATCAAGAACTGACGGTACTGAAGGGAGATGTCCAGGCTGCACCGAAGGCATTTTTTTTTTTTAAAGAATTGATGAAATACCCATTAGATATTTCAAAAATGGATGCAGTGCTGGAGGTGCTCATTCATTTATGCCAAGAATTTTGACAGACAGCTATGTGGCCAATCAACTCAAAGAGATCCAAATTTGTGCCCATTCCAAAAAAAGTGATCTAACAGAATACAGAAATTATCAAACAGTATCATTAATATCACAAGCAAGTAAAATTTTACTGGAAATAATTTAAAAAATGGTCACAGTAGTATACTGACAGGGAATTGCCAGAAATTCAAGCCAGATTTAAAAGAGAGCATGGAACGAGTGATACTATAGATGGATTCTGGCTGAAAGCAAAGTTTTATTGACTACACAAAGGCATTCAACTGTGTGAATCATAACAAAGTAGAGATAATACTGCGAAAAATGGGAATTCCAGGACTTAACTGTGCTCATGTGGAACCTGTACGTGGATCAAGTAGTTGTCTAAAAAACAAAGGGATACTCCATCATTTAAAATTAGGAAAGGTATGTGTCAGGGTTGTATCCTTTCACCTTATCTATTTAATCTGCATGCTGAGTAAATAATCTAAGAAGATGGACTATATGAAGAACATGGTATCAGGATTGGAGGAAGACTCATTAACAACCTGCAATATGCGCATGACATAACCTTACTTGTTGAAAGTAAAGATTTGAAGTACTTACTGATGAAGATCAAAGACTACAGCTTTCAAAATGGAGTACAGTTCAACATAAAGAAAACAAAAATACTCACAACTGGACCAATAAAAAACATCAAGACAAATGGAGAAAAAAAAGATTATAATTGTCAAAGATTTCATTTTACTTGGCTCCACAATGCCCATGGAAGCAGCAGTCAAGAAGAAATCAAACAAAGTACTGCACTGGGTAAATCTGTTGCATCCGCCCTCTTTAAAGTGATACAGAGCAAAGATGTCACTCTGAAGACTAAAGTGTGCCTGGACCCAAGCCATGGTATTTTCAATAGCCTCATGTGCATGTGCAAGAGCTGGACAATGAATAAAAAGGCCACAGAAGAACTGATATATTTGAATTGTGGTATTAGCAAAGATTACTGAATTTACCCTAGACTGTTGGCAAAATGAACAAATCTATCTTGGAGGGCGTACAACCTGAAAGCTCCTTAAAAACAAGAATGGCCAGATTTCGTCTCTTGTACTTTGGACATGTTGTCAGTATGGACTAGACCCTGAAGAAGGATTTCATGCTGGGTAAAGGGTCAGCAAAAAAGGGAGATGACCTTCAATGAGATGGATTGACAAAGAGGCTGTGAGATGGGCTCAAAAGTGGCAAGGACTGTGAGAATGGCACAGGACTGGGCAGTTCTGTTCTGCTCTGCATAGGGTCTCTATGAGTCAGAACTAACTAGACAGCACCTAAGACCTAACAACAATAATTTATGTTGGAAAAGGATAACTATTTTTCTTTCAGTTAGCCTAAGAGCACAGAATAATTTCAATCTTCTTCCCAGTGAAATATAGGCCACTTAAACTGTGCTTCTGATCATTACTTTTAATTACTCCTGCATTTACGGTTGCATAAATAATTTGGTAGACCAATTCACATAGCTTTCCAGATTATAAGGTCCTAATAAGAAAAGGACAGGAGCTCTGGTAGCATAGTGCCTAAGGCACTTGACTGCTAACCAGAAGGCTGGCAGTTCAAACCCACCAGCCACGCCTTGGAAGGAAGGTTGGGCAATCTACTTCCATAGTGATACTGCCTTGGAAACCCAAGGAGGGGTTGCTATGAGTTGGGTCTGACTCAAGGCACATAACAACAACAACAACAAGAAAGGACAGGAGTGCCCTGCTTTTGTGTGCATGCATATATAAAATAAATTGTATATATGTTATGTATTACATGTTTGTTAAATTTGCTGACAAACATCTAAAAGAATAATAGTCAAGAATGAGTATATTACTATTCACAATTCTTAAGAAGACAATTCTTAAATCTTTTAAAGAGCTACATCATTGGGACAAAAAATAGTAACCTTAATTTAAGGCTGACAAATGCAATAAGCAAGCTGCAGCTAGGTTCTATACAATATGCAATAGCAAAGTCTTGAATAAGAAATTCTAGAAAAGGAAATGAACTCTGCTGGATTGTTTCCAAGCCAAAAAAAAAAAAAAAAAAACGGTTTCAGAATCCAGCTGCATCATAAAATAATTTAAATGAAAAATAAATATAAAAGATTGGGAGGGCCCTAATTTAAGTTTAGAAAGGTAGGAAGCTGGGGTTAGAGAAACATGCTTGGGCAAGTTAGAGCTATGTAGTTGTAAAGAGAGAGGGTTTATGACAAGGATGTCATGAAATCCTCAAATATACATTTGAGGGAAACCACTAAGAGTGTCAAAGTTGAGACAGAAAAGTGATCAGCCAATTGATTTATACTCTGGAGATAACAGAAAATTACATGCTTTGTGATAAATATATATCAATGCCTTATAATTAGAAAGTAAGAAAGTTTCAGTGAAATTGTACCTTTTATTTAAGCTTCTTAAACTATGTATTTATCTCTTCATTTGGAAAATGAATGAGGTGGCATGCCCTTCCCATATAAAAATGATGTTGTAGGGCCTAAAGACACACAGAAGGCACCCTAAGGTAAACAAATGTAAAGTACATAAAATCATAACCAATTGCTTAAGTAAATGATTTTATGTAATTTCACAGATACCTTATTAATTTTATCTCCACACCACTAGTAATCATCTACTACTGTGCTATTCATATTGTTATCTATTTAATACTGATATTAAGCTGGTCAAACATATAGATTATTCCTAAGGCTGTAAGATGTAAGAGTGACAAGCAGCCCTTATTATGTCTGGCCAAATCTGTGTATGGTCTGTGGGAGGGAGTTATTTAATAATAAGTATTATCTTGCATATTGTAAAAAGAACTCTGGTGGAGTAGTGGGTAAGACATCAGGCTACTAACCAGAAGGTCATGGTTCAAACCCACCAGCTGGCTGCTAACCAGGTCAGTGGTTCAACCCCACCAGCTGCTCTGTTGGAGGAAGATGAGGCAATCTACTTCTTTAAAGATTTATAGCCTTGGAAACCCAATGGGGGTCACTATGAGTCGGAACTGACTTGATGGCAGGGGGTTTGGTTTGGGTTTTACATATTGTAATGTCTTAGGATTTAGAATGCACTTTCCACATGCATGATCTCATTTAATCTTTTAATTGCAACAACCTTATAAAGAAGGTCTTAGCATCCAAGTTTTACTAATGAGAAAGTGGAAGATTATAAAAATTCAACCACTGAAATGCTGAACATTACTGGGTTATTGAACAGAAGAGTAAAGACTAGATCTTAGATGCTCAGCTCCTAAGTTCAGGCATCACAAGATTCCTACAGGGTCTTGCTAGACACAAGAGACATTGTCTTGATTAGATGAAAATGGCAGAGTGATACTAGGGAAAAGCTATTTAAGTAGAGATTACTGGATAACGCTATACCTCAAACTACAAATAGCTTTATTTTTAGCATAGCTGCCTCTACTGTGGATGAAGTACCACAAAAATCTATTTCTCAAAGCTATTATTTCAGGGCAAGTGCATTGCACACAATGCAGTCAGGTCAGTTCAAGCATCAATGGGATGAATATAATATAATCAGTATTTTGCCATAGTCACAGAGACATATGGCTTGGAGCCTTACAATTTAATTAAAATATTCAGTCAAGGCATATATCTAGGGACTTTTGGAAGACATAAAGATTTACATATCTAAATATAATAAAAATATAGCTGTGTCCATCTTTTAGTTAAAAAGAAAGTCAAAGTGGCTTTTCAAATGTTTCTATTGTGTTTAAAATATGTAGTTAATTGAGTTTGAGATAAATATGATTTGATACAATACATTATATGGTTTACAAATTACATTAGACAAAATTATCTTATAGATCAAAGATTCTCAATGAAGAGAATAATTCTACCCACTGTCAGTTGAGAATCACTGTGTGTCATGAGTTATTACTGAGGTGACTAGGCTGCATATATGTGAAAAGCATGGGAACAGAAAAAAGGTCAACATACCACCAAAATAAAGGCTTTAGTTAGTAAGAGTACATAGTAATTAACTCACAGATATTTGATGATCAAAATTTATCCATTTAATACATGAAGGGTTTTTAGAGTGACTCTAATCCAACCACACAATGAGGTAAAAACACCTGCTCCAAACACATTACCTAGCTCATCTGCATTCTTCAGTACAAGGATGGTATGAACCAGCTTGACCAAAATCTCTATCAAGTGCTTTCTAACAGCCTGTTCATTCTCATCTCAGTGAGTTACCTTCATTTACAAAGAGCCAGGCAGCGAGGATTTGATAATAAACAGAATATAAAAAGAGATGATGAAAGAAATTCATTATTTTTGTCCCTTCAAGTTGGAGTCCCCCTCCCCGCACAAAAAAAAAACAAACAAAAAAAACACCCACCAAACTGACTGCCGTCGAGTCGACTTGACTCATCGCCACCCCTCCTTAGGCTTCTAAGGCAGTAGCTCTATGGAAGCAGATTGCCCAGTTTTCCTTCTGAGGAATGGCTGATGGGTTTGAACTGCCAGCCTTCTGGTTAGCAGTCAAATGCCTTAGGCACTATACTACCAGAGCTCCTTAGAAAGGTTATCAATGATGGTGAAATAAATTTACATAAATGAAACAGTGACTGGATTATACCACCTATCTTGTTTATGGTAAGACAGCTTAAAGAGAACAAATAAGGTAAGGTGACCCTGTACACTCTATTACTATCTAGCCACAAAGGAGAGCCATTATAAACTCTATTCTCCTCACACTGGTCACCAAATGACACAGAGAATAGTAAGTAACATTTCAACATTCCATCAGGTGAAGAACAGAGATTATTAGAAAGTAAAATACTTATTTTACAAACTAAGTTTTACTTTATTCTCTGTAACAACTGTAAAGATTGTGAAAAGATTGATGGACTAGAACTTTCCTATATCCACAATGCATGGGATATATTAAAAAACATATAGATCTATGTAGTATATACAGTTGATAGTACAATATAAGCTTTATTAAATCAGATCAAGAAGTGTAACTCTATTGCTATGCCTATCCTTATTCATTAGATGCATACAGAAATTAAAACTCTGGTTTAAATTCTACTTATCTCATCAGCTTTATAAACTCTTACCTAAAGCTTAGCAAAAGCATTAAGTGGAATACAATATGGAGAAAAGGATCATGCTAAGAAGTACTGAAAATTAATCCCCAAGTGATATACATATATAGTTATAATTTAAAAGGATTATGCATAAATGTGTATGTAGTATGTCAGCAGTGAATATTTAAGCAAATTCTTAGAATGTAAGGTCTTATTTCAGTAGAAATATTTGTTGTACAGTCAAGCTGAGAATCTTATGGGAATGAAGGGTAAAAGAAAATTCAGACAATTCTAATAAAAGATTAACTCTGGGAAGTTAACTTTTTAGATACTGCAGTTTCAAAAGGACTACATTACTAATAATATACTAAATCTGATGGCTTTCAATTAATTTATATCACACTTGTCCTATCTGTCCAACTCAAAACTGGATTATTTGTGTTCCTTATATGAGAGTATTCCCACTCAAATCTGTCTTCTCCCTGAAATCCTGGTCACTGCAGAGGGTGACTGAGAAGATAAGCTTATTCTCACTACAAAGACGAAGGGAGAAGGCAGTAAGAACAAAGAATTAGGACAGTTTAATTTTTATTTATAGTTTGCTGCAAATCTTGATGAAACTGCTTCATCAGTAACGATTCCAACGGCGAGAACGCTTGGTATGTACAATCTGGCATCTGTGGATTTTTATAGTCAAGTAGTGATTAAGAGTATGAACAGAAAGCACATGAGCATTTATTTTATTTATACTGCAGTGAATCATCAGGCCTAAAGTTGGCCTTCATTATTTCTAGGAAGTCAGTCCCCAAAAATGGCATCAAGGCATTATAAAGCATTCCTCTTCCTCTTAGAGCTTACGTTTGACATTATAATGCTTTGAAAGAATGACTGGACTTTCACTGTGGGGTTTTAGCTAGTCACTCAATCTCAATAATATAAATCATATACATCCATAGCATACTTGAACATTTTTAAGATGCTGGTGATAAATGTAAGTAACCATAATTTACGTGCTTATATAGGAATTTCCCAGCTTTTACAGTTTCTAAAGTCATGAGGTAGAATTAAGATTTATTCTATCAATAAATATTAACTGAGCACTCATTACATCTCTATTATTGTGCTAGATACTGTGAGAAGACTAAAAAGCTTAAAAAGTATGGTCTTTGACTGAAAGATACTTAAGCTTAACTGGGAACACAAAAGAAAACTCTCAATAAGATTATAATTATGCTAAATTATGCTATTGGCTAGATATCTACTTCATGTGCTGTACACATGTAAAAAAGTAGTACATCAGTGAGGTTTCATTTCACTTTAGCATGCTTACCCCATAGGATGCTGCATTATGAAGAGGAATTAAACCTCCTTTGTCTTGGGCATTAACATCTGCTCCATGCTCTAGAAGATATTCAGCTACTTCCAGGTTATTGTAGCCTGCTATTAGAACGAAAAAAGGCAAAAATGTCAGCTTAAAAGGAAAAAAGATAGCGCGCACACACACACACAATTATATATAAAAAACATAAAAATACATATGTATATAAATATAAAAGAACCAGAACATTTTAAGGTTTCAATACTTTTTGCTTTCGAAGCCATTATTATTATTATCACATAATTCAGGGCCTTTACATTAAGAAATATGAAATTATGTCAAAAGCATTTTACTAAGTAGTACACCCTTTATGCTCAGCATTTCTTTCAGCTTTCAGTAAAGGTCTGTATTAGGTCTCCAAGAAAGGAAAATGATACTTGAAAAGCCTGTGATGCTTACCTGCCAGGTGCAGAGGGGTTGAGTTTCGACCCTGGGTGTCTCTGCAGTTGATATTCTCTGGAGTACAGAGCTTCTGCACTCTAGCTAGGCAGCCCTTCTTGGCAGCATCCAGCAAGGCAGCGTCCCCTCTAAGTAAGTCCTGAATATCTGTGTCTCCTTCCTTCACCAAGTCTAAAGGTGTATTTCCATCTCTGTTCTTTTTGGTTGGATCTGCTCCATGCTACAAAGAACAAAAATCAAATGTGGATTGTGTTTTCTGTAGCATATTTCTTAAGGTTTATGGGTTTTTTGTTTTGTTTTATTTTCCTTAATCCACCTTTGTTCACCCAAAGAAAGAGATTTATTTATAAGATTTTGAAAAACAAAGCAATATCCTATTTTATTTTGCAAATTTCTACTCATGAATTCTCTACATGGAAGTATACTAGATAAACTTTCTAACTACTGCTCAACCAAAGCCATAAGCCTCAGGATCAATGGTGATGTTAAAGTTGGGAGAGTGCAAACTGCCTTTTATTTTTTACATAATATGTTGTAAGTTGTATTTGGAAGCCTTCAATTCTTTATGTTAATTTTGATCAGATTTTAGTTACATAAAGATATTCAGGGAGCATCATGAAAAAAGAGAGACACAGAAGACACACAGGTAGAATAAAGTACTTATTTCTAAATGTAATCAGAACAAAAAAGCTTGGTGATATATTTTATATTTTTATAATAAGTCTTAACATCTCTCCTAAAATCAGGTACAAATGTATTAACAAGGAACTTGATTTAAAGTTTAATCAACTACACTTATGAAATCAAATAAATACAAGTCAAAAATTTTTATTACAGGATCGACAGAGAATACAATCAGCCTACTGTGGAAATCAGGAAGAAACCAATGATGTCACTTCTTACCAAGCAGCTATTAAAATAAGTGTCTAATATGATGTTAGTCTCAAGATTCACAGAACATACTTCACACCATAAATGTGGTGGGAGAAAACTTTTATTCATATTTAATTATAAACATTTTTTCTTTAGTTAAAAAAAAAAACTTATAAATACATGTCTGATCACTTTTCAAATCTACTAACTTAAAAAGAACCCAAAATGATTAGTTTCATATAATTACTAGTTTTTACTATTTCATGTATATACCATTATATAACTTTGTTTAGAGAAACGAAATCTTATATTTTAATAAAAATCTGGTATTAAAATAAGTTCCTCAAGATATATATGATTAAATAATGCTTAATAATGAGGAATGCATTAGTGAGTTAACAATAATAAAAAAGTCAGTAGAAGAAATCAAACTTGATTAAAAACCTTCTCTCTTCTGTACAATTTTTTTTTCCTGACATTAATACTGTATTAGGTAACCATTGCTAGTTCAACTCTTTCCAAAATTTACCTTGATGAAGTTTAATGAACTGAACTTACATCAGTTCAGAGAGATGCTTCATGCACTACTCAAAGCAATGTAACTCTCATATCACTTAAACATCCCCCTAAAGTGGAAGTAGTCATTATAAAAGTTACTGTAGTTAATAGCATAAAAAGTACTGATTTAATTTAAAGTAATAACCAACAAACAAACACAATTACTTTATATTTTATAATTTTTTAAATTACATACTTTTAAAAGAAGCTTGCAGATTTCATATTTTCCTTTAGCTGCTGCTTCATGTAGAGGGGTAAATTTCCATAAGTCTGCCACATTGACAGATGCACCATGCCTTACTAAAAGCTCAGCTACCTCATAGTGTCCATATGAACAGGCATTATGAAGGGGTACCAAGCCACTAAACAAGAGAAAATGATTTAAAAGTCATACAACAACTCTTTAAGTTAAAATGATTGCTGTAATAAAAATAATTATTCTCTGGCATTGACTATACTGAACACCCACCTACAAAAGAAATAAATCCCCTCTGGTCTTTAAGACATAGTCAGTCATTTCTAAACAAGGATTGATAATGTAAAAAATGTTCCTTTCAATACAGGAACTTTTAGGGATGAATATACATTTCACAGCTCTCGTATCTTTTCTGGGTTAAAATACATACAGAAATACCCATAGGATAAAGTTCTATCACAATACTTTTAATTCAGGTTTTCATCCTGGTAATATAAAGAACAACACTACAAAATTATTTTCAGGAATAACTGACCAATCTAATTTTATCAGCTCTCAGTTTTCTTATATTTGGGCTTTCCTAATTAAAACTGTATGCCTACTTACAAAATTATAAAATTCAGTTCAAATTATTTCATTAGATAGGTTCTACCTCTGTGTCTGGTTTTTATTTTTTAAATTCCTAATAACTCAGTTTATTGACAGAGTGGCTGCCATGATGGGCTCAGGTATAAAAGGATTGTTAGAAGGGCACAGGACCAGGCCGTATTTCGTTCTATTGTATATAGGGTCGCTATGAGTTGGAGTCAACTCAATGGTACCTAACAACAACTACAACAACTCAGTGGTGGTTTCTGCAAACAGGTTTAAAATTTGCAGGTGACAGGCAATGAAAATTCATAATCCAAGTGAGACAGAGAAGTATTGAGTAAGGAAAACAATGATGTCAATCATAAACACTAGTCAGACAAGAAAACAATCTTGCTCTCTCAACTTAAGAGCAAACTGTTCTGAGATGACTGAGTTTTCACTTAATGGTAGTTGTTATTCTAAAAGGACAAAAAAAAAAAAAAAAAAAGAAAAGAAAAAGAAAAACCTCCTCCAAAGAAAAGGGGATTATCAGAAGGATAAGTTTATGTTGCACTTAAACAAACCAAACTAAACCTACTGTCATCAAGTTGATTCTGACTCCCAGCAACCCTACAAGACAAAGTAGGGACTGCCCCCACAGGGTTTCCAAGGTTGTTAAATCTTTACAGAAACAGACTGCCTCACTTTCTCCTGTGGAGTCTGGTGGATCTGAATCACCAACTTTTTGGTTAGCAGGCAAATGCTTTACCAGTGCACTACCAGAGCTCACGACATGATAAAAACAAGGTATTAAGCTCCCTTTTGGGAGCTCTGTTGGCATAGTCCCCTAAGGCATTTGATTGCTAACCAGAAGGCTGGAGGTTCAAACCCACCAGCCACTCCTTGGAAGGAAAATTGGGCAATCTATTTCCATAGAGATACTGCCTCTGAAACTCAAGGAGGGGTTGCTACAAGTCAGAATTGGCTTGATGGCAGTGAGTTTGGTTTTGTTTTAAGCTCCCTTTTATTTGGAGAGATCAGTACCTACAGTGTAGTAAATTACTTAGTGTGGCTTTTCTACCTATTAGTCTTTGTAAACTCCAAGGTGGAATTTGCCATGAGCAACTGAGGAGCTCCTGATTGCTAAAGTTATCCACCTGGGGTATTTCTGTTATGCAGTGGCACAAAGCAATATTCTGAGAAGTTTGCTCTCTCTCAGGTGCTTAGAATTCTGATGTTATGATTGGTTAGTTTGGCCACTCTGCCAGGCTCAAAAGGAGGCCTCCTAGAGGCAGAAGAGGTCTCTCTGACTACTGGCTGAGAAAAATGTGCTGCTGGGAGACAGGTGCTCCTGAGAGACACGTGCTGCTGAGAAAGAGACACTGAGACACGCATTGCTGAGACAGACACCAAGAGACAAGCACTGCTGGGAGAGTGGCTGAGAGAGACTGTTGGCTGAGAGACAGCAGGCTGAGAGAGACTGAATGTTTCTCCTGAACTTGAATTGTAGCCTGGTGCTTCCCTAATAAACCCCATAATCTGTCAGTTCTGTGTGGCCACTGCAGTGAATTATCAAACCCAGCAGAAAGGTGGTGAGTGCTGAAGGAAGAACAGTTGGTTTCAGGGTTGGTGAAAGGGCTGGAGGGAGATAGCATGTCTGGTCTTGCAGGAATAGGCCTTTGGCTACTGATGGTGATTCTGTCTTCCTCTTGTGGGGTTAGAGGAGGTCAGAAGATGCGGCCTCCCTGCCCCTTTGGCAGTAACTTTTTAAAAAATGTTTTGATACTAAATATGTTAAGTGCCAAAATGGGCAACAGGAAACAACTGTTGTTCTCCAGTGTACTTACAATAATTTTAAAGAGATAGTCATACTGTTATTGAATATTCATGTCCACTGCGTCTCTTTAAAAAGATAAATAAATTCATAATGGTTAACTGAAACCTACATTGTACGGTTTAAATTCTACAGCACTCTGCTGTAGTAAGTTTCTGGCTTATTTATATTTTGAGATAATATTAAATTAACTCAAAATTAGAGTGTAGAAAATCTTTTCAGTTAAAATTCCTTCCTTACAATTCTAAATAGCTTCAATGGCTGTTTTATGCTTTGTGTACAAAAAATAACTCAGTACCTGGATATAAAAATATAAATTAGTGAAAATGTTTTGGGGATAGATAGCTTTTCTTTAAATACACATTATTTAATAGCAAACAAAAGAAGCCATAATAGAAACAGTATAAACACACACATATAATACAATAAAATATACAGGCACTAAAAGAATGAGATGAGCAATTAAGTATGGACATAAAAGGACAACATTCAAGATATACTATGGTTATTGTCATTAGCTATCATTGACTAGATTCTGAGTCATGACAACCTCATGTGTGCAGAGTAGAAGTGCTCCATAGGGTTTACAAAGCTGTGACTTTTCAGAATCAGATCACCTTGCCTGTTTTCTGAGGACCTTCTGGGTAAATTTGAACCGCCAACCTTTTGGCTAAGTGCTTAAACATTTGTGCCACCCAGAGATTCCTCAAGATATATATAAAAAAGAAAACCACTAAACAGATTGTATAGAATGGCATCATCTTATATACGAGAAAATTCCCACCCCCATCATAACAACATACACACTGTTATATATATTTAACAAAAGTTAGAAGAACTACATACAAAATTTTCCATGTACGTAATCTCTAGGACATCATGCTTAGTAAAATAGAGGGTCAGTGAAAAAGAGGAAGACCTTTGATGAGACAGAGTGATACAGTGGCTACAATGATGAGCTCTAACAGAGTGACAACTGTGAGGCTGGTGCCGGATGGGCAGTGTTTCATTCTGTTGTACACAGGGTCACTATGAGTTAGAACCAACTCAAAAGCACCTAACAATAGCAATAACCTCTAGGGAATGCAGTGTTAGGTAATTTTCACTTTCAATATTGTCAATATTTTTTGACATTTCCACAATGCTTTTAAGTTTTTTTTTTTTTTTAAATACATTACTTTTTTAATGGGGAAAAAGATCTAAGACTTCAAAAATACTTAAAAAGGAATTTTAGAAGTGTGAAGAAAATTAATCCCAAACAGCTAAATTCTAACACATACCCTTTGTCTTTGGCATGGACATCGGCACCATGATGTAGAAGATACTCCACAACAGACACACGATTATAGCCGGCTGCAAAGTGTAGGGGTGTAGAATGCCGGCCCTCTAAATCTCTGCAATTCACATTTTGAGGGCTGCAAAGTTGCTTTTATGGTACAGACACATACATACACAAAAAAAACATTAATATTTATTCGTAGATTTTGCTCTAAAATACTACAGCATCTTGGAAAAGCTGTAATGTTCTAATGTATATTTATTTGCAAAGGTTAGCTAAAATGAATGATGTTCAAAAATCAGCACTATGTTTGGCTTAATAATGACTACAAATATTTTTACTGTTTATAGAGCAATTAATCATTTTTTTAAACATTTCTTAGCCAAAATTCTAATCAAATAGAGAAATCTACAATAAAGTAAGCACTTTCAAGGTAAATCATGCTTTGCCTTTTCATTTCTGTAAGTCTTTCCTGCCTGAGATTACTTGTCACAGAATCTCTGCTTGCATTACCTAGATTTTTCCTCAAATGAGACCAACCCTGGTTGACTGCAGAACTAACTTACAGTTCTTGTCTACTCTCCCATGGATCAAGCCAGCACAGCTCTGGGAAAAGTATTTTAATTCTGCTTAGGCCACCCATTTGGCCTTCTGACCTACGGCAGCAAAGCAGTCAACAGTACTTATTTGCAGGGGGAAGTTTGTCTAACATTTTAAGTTGAACCAATTCTAATCATACTCTAGTTTTTGACAATCTTCTATCATTTTCAGCTTTGTCCTTCAAATCTCTTCTCAGCCTCCTTCTCTCCTTCTGATTGCTACCATTTCAACATAATCAAAATTATATGCTCAATTTTGTTTGCATACAAAGTGGTAGAAATCAAAGCAAAGCAGAGTAGGCTGCATCACTGGATTATGTAACAGTAACATCTGAATAATTTAGTTTATAAAAAATTTCATATTCTTTCAGTAAGAAAATTAATATCTATCTGTGAATAATCTGATCATTATTCCGATTTTACATACAAATAAACCGAAGCTCACAGGAGTTAAGCGATTTATCCTGTCTCATAAAGTTGGTAAATGGTACAATAAAGAATCAAACCCTGTTTTACTGATTCCTAATTTCTTCATCTTTTTGTTACATCATGCATCATTGCTTACTTCTCCACCTAATTTTAGGCAAGCAGTGAGAAGAAAGGCAATGAAAATTTTAAAAAAGCAAATAAAGCAGAGAGAACAGTGGCATTTTCTAGGCTACAAGAGCTTCACAGGCATTCTCCCTAAGAATGTTTAATTAGAGCAAATGTGAGAATTTCTAGAAAACAACGAAGAAACACCACTGTAAAGTTTAACATGTATCCCCTGGACTTGAACTACATACATATTTATGAATGTGGACACTTAATTAACATGAGTGAAAATATAAAAGAGCTTTCATGTAACCAGGCATATATGAAAGACATAAAAATAAGAATAAAAACAAGGACCTTTCAGGTAGTACCATTTTCACATTAAAGGGGAAGTCTGGGCAGTATGGTAGAGCCCACAATCTCCACTCTATATGGAAAAGTACTAACTAGCATTCTCTTAGACCAAATGAGACCAACTGTGGTCAACTACAGAACTAACCCACAGTCCTTGTCTCCTTTAATATACACATATTTGAAATTATATATACAGTTGTGTGTGTGTGTGCATGTGTGTGTTTTAAGTCTGTAAATGATACGTGGAAATCCTTAGTACTACAAGGTCTCTCTACTCTAAAGATCTACTCTGCTCATCCCTTTTATTTGTTGGACTTTAGTAATTTTACTTACAAATTTAAAAATAAATTAGTTAGTAAAGGTTGAATAGTGATGCTCAAGCCATCAAGAGTACTGACTTACCTTCACAGTTTCCAAGTCACCAGCTTTAGATGCCTCTAAAAGTCGATAGTCAACATCAGAAGTGCGTATAGGTGTACTTTCTGCATTTTAAAAGAGGGAAAGATCATTAGTAGTTCCTGAGGAATCTTAGTCAAGAAGGGAATATTACTTGGTACTTGGGAAGAGATTAAGGGATCTAAAATTTCTGAGATGCAATATTGGTTTTTACCAAACCTTTTTAGATACAAAATTAATTATTTATACTTCAATCTATATCAATCTCATCCTAAGCCAAACTTAAATAAATTCTAGAACCACAACTTCCTTCATTTCTTCTATCCTTCCTTCACATATTCTGGTCAAAAATTTGGCAAAGGATAGTGGGAAAACCTAAGGCCATGAGATCAAGAATATTTTTGGTACACTGTTTTACATGGTATCATAGCAAAGCTTTCCCACAGATGTCTTATGTAAAAGCTAAGGAACTCATTCAACTTTCAGTACTTCATTTTTAGCTGCCTTCTTCCTCTTTTTTTTTTTTTGGGGGGGGCATCAAATTTCTTATATGTGTAAAGAAGTATTCCAGTCACCACAAAAAAGGAAATAATATTCAAGCAGAAATAAATGAAACAGAGAACAGAAAAGCAAGAGAAAGAATCAGCAAAACAACAGTTGGTTCTTTGAAAGAATTAAATAAAACTGGCAAACCACTGGCAAATTTAACAAAGAAAAAGAAGAAAATAACACTAATAATACAAATTAAGAAATGAAATAGGACATGTCACAAAAGAACCTGCTGAAATAAAAAGAATAGTAATAGAATACTATGAAGAATTGTATTCCAACAAATTTGAAAAACTAGAATAAATGGACAAATTTACTTCCATAATGATACTGCCTCGGCAACCCAAGGAGGGGGTCGCTATGAGTCAGTCCGACTCGACGGCACATAACAACCACAACAACACCTAAACTAACACAAGCTGAAGTAGAAAATTTGAAAAAACCCATTTACTAAAGAAAAAACTAAACAAGTCATAAAAAAAACTCCATACCAAAACAGTCCTGGTCCAGAAGTCTTCACTAGTGAATTCTATGCAACATTCAGAGAAGAGCCGAGATCAATATTCCTCGAAGTATCCCAGAACATAGAAAAGAATGGAATACTACCAAACTCATTCTATGAAGCAAGCATAACCCTGATACCTAAACCAGGCAATGACAACACTAAAAAAGAAAATTACAGACAATACCCCTCATGAACACCAACAGAAAATCCCTCAACAAAATCTTAGTCAGTAGACTCTTAACAACCTATCAAAAAAATCATACATTATAACTAAGTGAGATTTATATCATGTATGCAAAGATGGCTTAACATTAGGAAAACAATCAATGTAATCCACCACATATATAAAACAATCAATGCAGAAAAGGCATTTGACAAAATCTAACACCACTGCTTGATAAACATGTTCATAAAAATAGGAATAGAGGGGAAATTCCTCAACATAATTAGGGATATATATATATACAAAACCAATGACCAATATTGTTCTCAACGGAAAGAGACTGAAAACATTTCCCCTGAAAATCGGAACCAGACAAGGATGATTTTTATTACCACTCCTATTCAATACTGTATTTGAAGAATGAATCAGAGCTATAAGGCAAGAAAGGGAAGTAAAAGGCATCAAAATTAGCAAAGAAAAAGTAAAACTATCTCTATATGCAGATCTATTTGTATGACTTGATGCTATACATAGAAAACCCTACACATTCAACAAAAGAATTACTGGAATTAATAGAAGCCTTCAGTAAACTGCCAGGGTACAAGACCAAAATACAAAAATCAGTAGGATTCCTCTACAGTAACAAAGAGAACTCTGAAAAGGATATCTACAATACCATTTTTAACAGCCACCCAAAAGAGAAGTACTTAGGAATAAACCTAACTGGAAACAAAAAAGACCTACACAAAGAACATTACAAGCACTACTACAAGAAACCAGAAGAGACCTATATAAATAGAAGAATTTACTATGTTCATGAAAAGGAAGCCTTAACATTGTAAAAATGACAATATTACCCAAAGCAATCTATAATCTTCATTCAGACTCCATCATCATTCTTTAATGAGATGGAAAAGTTAATTGTCCACTTTATATGGAAATGAAAGAGTCCTCAGATAAGCAAAACACTATTGAAGAACAACAAACTAGGTAGCCTCATACTCCCTTGATCTCAAAACCTACTATACAACCACAGTAGCCAAAACAGCCTGGTATTAGTACAATGACAGGCACATAGACCAATGGAGCAGAATTGAGAACACAGAAATAAATCCATCCATCCACGGATAGCTGATCTTCAACAAAGGGTCAAAAATAAAATAAAACCCAAACCCATTGCCTCACCTTCGTCCTGCAGAGCAGTTAGTAGGTTTGAACTGTCAACCTTCTGGTTAGAAGCCAAACACCTTAACCACTGTGTCACGTGAGCCCCTTTCCACAAAGGGCCAGAATCCATTAAATTTGGAAGAGACAGTTTCTTTAACAAATGGTGCTGGCAAAACTGGATGTTCTCTTGAAGAAGAACGAAACAGTATCCATATCTCACACCATACACAAAAACTAAGTCTAGATGGATGCAAAGATCTAAATGTAAAACCAGAAGCCATAGAAATCATCAAAGTACAAATAGGGGCAAACTTAGGGGCCCTAACACTAGGGATAAGCACACTATCAAATACATCTAAATATACAACATCAGAAAACAAATTAGAGTTTCGGACTGTCTAAAAATTAACTTTTATGTTCATCAAATGACTTTGTCAAACAAGTGAAAAGAGAATCTATAAACTGGAGAAAATTTTTAGCAACTATGTATTAGACAAGGGACTAATCTCTAAATTTATAGAAAATTTCACCACCTCAACAAAAAAAAATGACAAGCAATCTAAATGGGCAAGAGAACCAGAACAGATACGTCACAAAAGAAGACACTGAGGTGGCCAACAAACACATGACAAAATGCTCGTGACCATTAGCCATTGTTGTTCTTGCTGTTAGGTGCCATTGAGAAAGACTCTGACTCACAGTGACCCTATGTACAACAAAATGAAATGCTGTGTGGTTCTGTGCCAGCCTCACAATACTTGCTATCCCTGACCTCATCGCTGTATCCACTTGTGTCAATCCATCTCATTGAGGGCCTTCCCCTTTTTCGTTGTTGTTTGGTGCCATCGAGTCATCTCTGACTCACAGTGATCCTATGCACAGCAGAACGAAACACCACCCGGTCCTGGGCCAGCTCCACAATCCCTGCTATAATTGAGCCCTTCACCACTGCCACTGTATCAAACCACCTTGTTGAGGGCCTTCCCCTCTTTTGTTGACCCTCCACCTTACCAAGCATGACATCCTTCTCCAGGGAATGGTCCCTTCTGATAACATGACCAAAGTAGGTGACATGAAGTCTGACCATTCTCACTTCCAATGAACATTCTGGCTGCACTTCCTCCAGGACAGATTTGTTAATTCTTTTAGCAGTCCATGGTACTTTGTGCATCCTTCGCCAACATCACAACAAAAGCATCAATTCTTCTTCAGTCTTCCTTATTCATTGCCCAGCTCTCACATGCATATGAGGTGACTGAAAATACCACAGCTTGTGTCAGGTGCACCTTAGTCATCAAGGAGACATCTTTGCTCCTCAGCACTTGAAAGAGGTCCTTTGCAGCCGACTTGCCCAGTGCTGTACAGCGTCTGATGTCCTGACTGGTGCTTTCATTGGCATCAATTGTAGAACCAAACAATGTGAAGTCTGACAATTTCAACCTTTTCTCTATTTATCATGATGCTGCTTATTGGCCCAGTTGTGAGGATTTTCATTTTCTCTTATGTTGAGATGTAATCCATACTGCAGACTGTAGTATTCAGTCTTCATCAGTAAGTGCTTCAAGTCATCATCACTTTCAGCAAGCAAAGTTGTGTCATCTGCATTTCGCAGGCTGTTACTGAGTCTTCTTCCAATCCTGGTGCTATGCTCCTCTTCATACAGTCCAGCTTCTCAGATTATTTGTTCAGCAGACAGACTGAATAAATATGGTGAAAGGATACAACCCTGACACACTCCCTTCCTGATTTTAAACCATGTAATATACCTTTGTTCTGTTTAAAGGACAGCCTCCTGGTCTATGTGCAGATTTCTCATGAGCACAATTAAGTGTTCTGGAATTCTCATTCTTCTTCATGTTATCCATAATTTGTTATGATCCACACAATCGGATGCTTTTGCATAGTCAATAGAACACAAGTAGACATCTTTCTGGTATTTCCTTTCAGCCAAGATCCATCAGACATCAGCAATGATATCCCTCACTCCACATCCACTTCTGAATCCAGCTTGTATTTCTGGAAGTTCTCTGTCAATATGCTGCTGCAACAGTCTTTGAATTATCTTCAGCAAGATTTTACTTGCATGTGACATTAATTTTAATATTCAATAATTTCCACATTCTGTGGGATCACCTTTCTTTGGAATGGGTACAGATATGGGTCTCTTCCAGTCAGTTGGCTAGGTAGCTGTCTTCCAAATGTCTTGGCATAGACAAGTGAGTGCCTCCAGCGCAGCATCCCTTTGTTGAAACATCTCAGTGGGTATTCGGTCAATTCCTGGAACTTTGTTCTTTACCAATTCCTTCAGTGCATCTTCAACTTCATCCCTCAAAACCATTTGTTCTTGATCATATGCCACATCCTGAAATGGATGAACACTGACCAAATCTTTTTGCTACAGTGACTCTGTGTATTCTTTCCATCTGCTCTTGATGTTTCCTGCATTATTCAATATTGTGCACATAGAATTTTTCAATAATCCAATTACAGGCTTGAATTTTTTTCTCAGTTCTTTCAGTTTGAGAAATGCGAAGTGCATTCTTCCCTTTCTTCAACTCCAGGTCTCTGCACATTTCATTGTAATAACTAAGTCTGTCTTCTCCAGCTGCTCTTTGAAATCTTCTGTTTAGCTCTTTATCTTGTTGATTCTTCCATTTGCTTTAGCTACTCTCTGTTCAAGGGCAAGTTTCATAGTGTCTTCT